CCTAGGCACAGGGGTAGGCAACCTTGGTTCTTTTATGACTCGTGGACTTTAGCTCCCATGGCTGGCTCAGGAATTCTAGGAGTTGTAGTCCACGAGTCATAAAAAAGCCAAGGTGGCCTACCCCTGGCCTAGGGTCTCCTGCTTGAGCAGGGGGCTGGACTAGAAGACCTCCAAGGTCCCTTCCAGTTGTATTCTGATTCTGATTCTGTTTTGCTCATCACCCCCAGATATCTGCGGGGTAAGAATAAGCTCCTCCACGCAAAGTCTTCTCTCCCCATTCCTCTGGGCTTACGTAGATCATCCAGGCGGCGTAGCGGTCCTTCAGGTTGTAGAGCACGGCCGGTTCGTGCAGAAAAGTCAGCATGGCCATATCCTCGATCTTGTCGAACTTGGGCGGGTTCTGCTGCATGATTTGATCTTCTTTGACCGTCACCGTCTGCCAACGAGATGGAATCGGATCTTGAGGTCAGATAGGCCTCACCACAGGAATGGGGCTCCCTTTGCTAACCCGTCCCTGACCCATGAGGCTTTGAGTCCTGCCTCGGGCATGAAAGCCGGCTGGGTGACTTTGGGCCAATCACCGGGAGACGGAGAGTTCTAGTCCCGCCTCGGGCATGAAAGCCGGCTGGGTGACTTTGGGCCAATCACCGGGAGACCGAGAGTTCTAGTCCCGCCTCAGGCATGAAAAGCAGCTGGGTGACTTTGGGCCAATCACCAGGAGACAGAAGTTCTAGTCCCGCCTCAGGCATGAAAGCCAGCTGGGTGACTTTGGGCCAATCACCGGGAGACGGAGAGTTCTAGTCCCGCCTTGGGCATGAAAGCCGGCTGGGTGACTTTGGGCCAATCACCGGGAGACGGAGAGTTCTAGTCCCGCCTTGGGCATGAAAGCCGGCTGGGTGACTTTGGGCCAATCACCGGGAGACGGAGAGTTCTAGTCCCGCCTCGGGCATGAAAGCCGGCTGGGTGACTTTGGGCCAATCACCGGGAGACGGAGAGTTCTAGTCCCGCCTTGGGCATGAAAGCCGGCTGGGTGACTTTGGGCCAATCACCGGGAGACGGAGAGTTCTAGTCCCGCCTTGGGCATGAAAGCCGGCTGGGTGACTTTGGGCCAATCACCGGGAGACGGAGAGTTCTAGTCCTGCCTCAGGCATGAAAGCCGGCTGGGTGACTTTGGGCCAGTCCCTCTCTCCCAGCCCTAGGAAGCAAGCAATGGCATATCACTTCCGAAATGTTTGCAGGAAAACTCCAGGGACTTGTCCAGGCAGCTGCCAGGAATCCACACGCATTAACAAATACACACACACACACACACACAAATAAACACACATACACTAAAGGGAACAACGGTGCTTGACCCACTGGAAGATTTATCATTGTCAGCCCAACAGGCTAGACCAGATTAAGAAGCCCCACACCATATTAGGCCAGCATTACAATATTACAATATAAATGTAATATTGTAATAGCTATAGTAATGGCCCTAGCAGCCTGAAGACATGTCTCCTTCCCCTCCTTTCCCTTCATGCAAATTGGGGAGGGGCTTGTCTGAAATATGTCCTCATTTTCTTGGCCAGGGCTCAAGCCCCCCCCTTATCTAACCATTGTTTTGGTAGCAACTGCTCCTGCTATCCAGTGTTTCTGAACCACGACCATTTTAAGAGCATAGCTGGCTGGGGAATTCTGGGAGTTGAAGTCCGCACCTCTTAAAATGGCCGCAGTTGAGTTAAATTGATCTGTGCCCTCTAAATTATTTCTTCTCGGTTTCTCTACCCTTCTCTAATTGGCACAGTCCAGACAGCTTGGACTTTAAGCCCCATCATCCTCAGCCAGCACCACGAAGACCCGCTTTACAGCACACCTGGATGGAAGATGCCAAGAATTGAGATCTTTCAGATCTGGAGGAATGCTTACAGCCCTTTGTCTGGAATGATATAGGGCGGGGGGGGGGGGTGTCTTCAAACTTGGCCCTTTTATGACTTGTGGACTTCAACTCCCAGAATTCCTCAGCCAGCGTGCCTGGCTGAGGAATTCTGGGAGTTGAAGTCCACAAGCAGGGGTCTTTAAACCTGGCCCTTTTATGACTTGTGGACTTCAACTCCCAGAATTCCTCAGCCAGCGTGCCTGGCTGAGGAATTCTGGGAGTTGAAGTCCACAAGTCATCAAAGGGCCAAGTTTGAAGACCGCAGGTATAGGGTCTCCTGCTTGAGCAGGGGGTTGGACTAGAAGACCTCCAAGGTCCCTTCCAGCTCCGTTATTCTGTATATTTTTGTAGTCTAAAGATCTGACTTCGAATGATGTCTACCTTGCCGCCCTCCGTTTCCGCGGTGATTTTGCCACCTTCTCTGGAAACGATCTTGGCTTTCACAAATTCCTCTTTGACATCCGGCACGAAAACATCCTTCTTCAAGTCGAACGGCCGAGTCTGAGCTTGGATGCGGCTCTTTTCCGACATGCGCAAGAAAGGGGCGGCGGCCCCAAAATCAGATGTCTCCATATCCATGGCGGGAGCTGCAAACGAAACCGGGTTAATGTTCATCTAGACAGGCTGTGAGGCTCTCCCGGGCGGGCAGGTGGGCAGGATTCACACCTGCAGCCTTGGGGAAAGTTTTAACGAGGGTGCTCGCTGAGCTGGGTGGCTTTCTTGCAGACGTTTCACGGCCCAGCTAGGCAACGGCATCAGGGCTCTGAGCGCTAAAGCGAGATCATCTGCAATGTGTCGTTCAGAAGGGATCCACCAGAGGGCGCCCTGAGCTAGGTCAAGTTTTGAATAGTGCTGCTTCCCCCCCTGGTGTACAACACTGGAACGGCACCTTATTTAATCCCTCTCCTTCCAGTGCCGATATGCTGCCCCCTGCTGGACGTTAGCAGGATTGCACCCTTTAGAAACCAGCTTTAGACAAGGATGCCACCCAGAACAGCTGCAACGGAAGTGTAAATAGATATACTACTAGATATAGATTGCTCTGTTGGTCAGAAATAGATAGTTACGATAGTTACCCTTTGTTTTTAGAGGATTGCTGGGGAGAAAAACCGGGGACACCTCAGGTCGGACTCCTGTCGTGGAAAAGGGCCGTGTTAGTATAAAATACACCCCAATCCTTTCCCCAGCCACCCAGGTATCGTTCCTGCCAGGATGATTCCGATATATTTTATTTTAAGGAGAGGGGGAAAAAATATCAGGAGGGGAGAAGCTGCAATATATAGATTTTCATATGTGTTATGAAAGATCAGCCTCTAAAAGGTACATTTCCTCAGTGTACGCTCTCCCTAAGGAAAGAGCTAAATCCTCCCCAAAGTGGGGTTGTTTTTTTTCAGTCAGACACGTCAAGCATGACCGCCATTTGTTCCCAAGGATTACGAAGACCATGTTTTTTCAGATAGTATCTCAAAGAGATGGGAGTTGCAATCCCAACTATTTGGGAGCAAAAGAAGGGGTCTCGGAGCACCTTTTCTGACAATTTTATTAAAGGGAGGCAGGGAGGGAGGGAGGAAGAAAAGAAAGAAAGAAAGAAAGAAAGAAAGAAAGAAAGAAAAGGAAAAAAGGGAGGGAGGGAGGAAAGAAAGAAAGAAAGAACAAAAGAAAGAAAAAGAAAGAAAGAAAGAAAAAGAAAGAAAGAAAGAAAGAAAGAAAGAGGAAAGGAAAGAAGGGAAAAAGGGAGGGAGGGAGGGAGGGAGGGAGGGAAGGAAGGAAGGAAAGAAAGAAAGAAAGAAAGAAAGAAAGAAAGAAAGAAAGAAAGAAAGAAAGAAAGAAAGAAAGAAAGAAAAGGAGGGAGGGATGGAGGGTGGAAGGAAGGAAGGAAAGAGGAAAGGAGATTGCAATGAAAAGAAGGAAAGGAAGGAAGGAAGGAAGGAAGAAAGAAAGAAAGAAAGAAAGGAAGGAAGGAAGGAAGGAAGGAAGGAAGGAAGGAAGGAAGGAAGGGAAGGGAAGGGAAGGGAAGGGAAGGGAAGGAAAGGCAAGGAAAGGAAAGACATTTCTGAATTAAAAGTTAGACTAGGGTGTGAAAATGTAGAATATTCCTGGCAAAAAGTGAGTGTTTTTCAAGAGGAGAATTTCCCTCTTGACCAAAGGTGTGATGCTAACTCATCCTTCCCCTGCCTGGGTCCTCCGGCTGAACTGGACAACATCTCCCATTCTCCCCAGCTGGGGGAAAGCTCCGGCAGGAGAAATGCAGGATACCCACTCCCTTACAGGTGGCAACATCGCTAACAGCAGCAGGTGCCAGAGACACTCAGCGGACGTGGCTATACCACCAAATTACCCCTTACAGCCGCTTCCTCCCCCCTCCCTAAAATTCAGGAGGGGGCACCCCCACCCCACCCCCTGTGCAATCTGGTCTTCAAGAAACACATCCCATTCCCACGACCCCAGTCAGACCCGTGTTTATAATTTCTTGCGCACGAAGCATCACCCCTTTCCCCGAAGCATGCATTGGACAGGGGGGATTCCCCATCTCTCTCACCCCACGCTTTGGGGGCTGGAGGGCTGCAACGGGGAGGGGGGGTGTCTTACCTGAGACCAGCAGAGAAGGGATGGGGTTCTAAGCAGAGTGCCTGGCTCAGGACCCTGGTTATAAACCCCCGATTTTCCCCCCGCCCCCTCCTCCTGGCCAGCCTCATATGGACAGGCAGACCCATCCTCCACCACCACCCCCCTCCTCCCCACATCTCCAGCCTGGCCCCCGAACAATTGGAATCTCTCGTCATTGTCGTGGTATGAAGAATAGGAACAGGTTCAGGGTGGAGGGGGGGGGCAGAGAAGGAGGGGGCAAGAGAGAGACATCAAAATATCTTGGAACAACAGGACTGAGATTCCAGAGGGAGGGGGAGCAGGAGAGCAGGGGGTCCCGGGAGGGCGAGACACGGGGAGAGAATTCGTGCAATCGCCACCCCCCCCCCCAACGGCTCGTTGGCTTCGCCACAGAATGCAACCTCACACCAAGATTGCAGTTGCAGATCTATCTACAGCTTACATTGCGGGTACCAAAACTGCAAAGCTCCAGATAGCCACTAGAGGGCTGCAGACGATGCTTTATACTGCCCTCTCGTGGACACGAGGAGTATGGCAGCCTAGTTGTGCATCTTCCTCTCTATATTTATATGATTCCAGTTCTATAAATTTGGAGCGCCGATGGCTCGTTGGCTTGGCTACAGAATCCTCGCCTTGCGTGCAACCTTGTAGTGGCAATTTATCTAAAACAGTGGCTCTCAACCTTTTTAATGCCGCGACCCCAACCGGTCGTAAGTCGAGGACTAAACCGATCGTAAGTCGAGGACTAAACCGGTCGTAAGTCGAGGACTACCCAACCGGTCGTAAGTCGAGGACTTTCCCTGCCTGGGAGCGCCGCGCATGCGTGGTTCCACCCCCTGCGCCGGCCGAGGCGTAGCTGGCAAGCGGCAGAGACAGAGCAGGCCGACCACCAGCTGGCCCAGCCCAAGGGAGGTAAGGCACCTGCCAGAAAAGGGGAAAAAAATGGCGGACAAAAAAAATGGCGGACTGCCTTGCTTGGCGACCCCCGTGAAATGGTCGATCGACCCCAAATGGGGTCCCGACCCACAGGTTGAGAACCACTGATCTAAAACTAAAAGAGTTAGTTATATTCAAGGTATCAAATCTGGGCTGCAAAGCTCCAGTTGGCCACTAGAGGGCTGCAGACGATGCTTTATACTGCCCTCTCGTGGACATGAAGAGTATGGCAGCCTAGTTGTACATCTTCCTCTCTATATTTATATGATTCCAGTTATATAAATTTGGAGCACCGATGGCTTGTTGGCTTTGCTACAGAATCCTCTCCTTGTATGCAACCTTGTAGTTGCAATTTATCTAAAACTAAAAGAGTTAGTTATATTCAAGGTATCAAATCTGGGCTGCAAAGCGCCATTTGGCCACTAGAGGGCTGCAGATAGTGCTTTATACTGCCCTCTCGTGGACATGAGGAGTAAGGCAGTCTAATTATACATCTTCCGCTCTCTATTTATATTATTCTAGTTATAAATGTGGAGCACTGATGTCACTTGAGCATAGAAATGAATAGTAGCATTTTTTAAGGAGTGGTTTTAAATGACAGAACTGGACAACGTGAAGAGTTTCAGATTTCGGAGAGTTCCATTCCCATCAAGTTGAAACTAACCTCCGGTGTTTCCTTGGTGTAAAAAAAACCTAAGAAAATAGGGAAAAAATCTCAAAAGCATCATAAATGTTCACAGTTATATTATCCCTATTTGCATAGTGAATTAAAAGGTCTTTGAAACACCGACAGCGTTCTTGATATAAACTGAAGTTGAGTCCTGATGTTTTTTTTCACCCAAGTTTTAAAAAACTTGATTATTACAGATACTCTCCCAATTCTGGAATCTAACAGCATTGCTCCAGATGCCCATTAGATGGCAGCAGACAGTGTTTCATACCGCCCCCTTTTGGACACGGGGAGCATTGCGGCCTAGTTATACATCATCCTCTCTATATTTATGTTATTCCAATTATATAAAATTGGAGCCCCAATGTCACTTGGGTGTAGAAATTAACACTATCATTTTTTAGGGGTTGGTTTTAAATGACAGAACTGGATGTTGTGAAGAGTTTTAAGCTGGAACTAGCCTCCAATTCTTCTTCGAAGTAAAACTTCTGGGAAACAGAGAAAAAAATACTGAAGCGCATCATAACTTTTAACTGTCATCTTATATGATTGTTCGTTGCGCCGTCAGCCAGATGTTCAGACTGAAAAACTGGCATTTTGGCACGCCTATTGAGAAGAGGCAGATGTGGTTGACCGATGGTGTTACAAATATCGTCCCAGGATGTAAGCTGTTCCGAATAGAGCTGCCTTTTGCAATTGACCGATTCTGAATTTGTCAACGCCGATGGCGTTCCAACGATCCAGAATTGGTGCTTCCATTTTAAATATCCTATTCTTGTTGGACTTGATCTGCAATGCGGGTAACCCTTGACTTACAACAATTCGCTTAGTGACCTTTTAAAAAGTGACACGCACGTTTTTCCACACTTAATGACTGTTGCAGCATCTCCATGCTCACGGGATCAAAATTCAGATGCTCGGCAACTGGCTTGTACTTATGACGGTTGCCGTGTCCCGGGGTCATGTGATCCCCTTTGGCCACCTTCTGACAAGCAAGGGGAAGCCACTTAACAACTGCAGGAAGAAAAGGTCGTAAAATGGAACAAAACTCACTTAACGGATGTCTTGCTTAGCAACGGAAAATTTGGGCTCAATTGCGGTCGTAAGTCAAGGACTACCACCGAACAGATCGTTATTTCTTTGTTTTCAATCTCTCTATGTTTGCTATGGGTCTCTATCTCATATTATCATATTGTTCTTATTTTGCACCACTAATTAAGAGTTATTTGCAACTTTCTTAGATCCTAAACTACAAGCGAGTCCCGAGCCTACATTTCCGCGGAGTTACAAATCTTAATTGTTTCAGATTTCCACTTTGCATTCCCAGCTTAAATCCCCACTAAGGGTGTGTGTGTGTGGGGGGGGC